TCACTTTTTAACAGGTTGAGTAAACTCTTTTCTAGACAATTTTTCTAACACATTTGTCAGTACATAGGTATTACCAGAGCAGCCGTACAATACCTTTCGCCACTTAAAGTTTTTAAGGCATTTTCGAATGGTTTTAGGACTTGGCACAACTCTTTAATTACCTTCCATTCTGTGGCCGTAATGGGTGGAAATTCTTTATCAAATATAGCTACAGTGGATTTTACTGCTTCTTCTAATTCGATAAATCTTTGCAGCATATAAAATGTGGAATTCCACCTGGTCGGAACTTCCATTATAAGTTTCAGAGGGCTTTTCCCTAAATTTTCCTGGTATGTCCTCAGCTTCCCATTAGCAATATTGCTTTTTCTGAAATGCCTAACAATTACTTTTACTTTTTCTATTAGAGATCCTATTTCTTGGATTGCTAATGAATCTTTAACGATTAAATTGAGTGTGTGTGCAATACAACCAAAGCTTTTCCAACCAATATCATTAATTGCTTTCTGAACATTCCTCGCATTGTCGCTGACAGCAAATATTATTTTATCTGTAATGTTCCAATTTGTAACCACTCGTTGTAATTCTGCAGCTAAATTTTCTGATGTGTGTCGAATATCAGAAGATGAGCATTCCAGTAATAATGAATGTAACTCGAAATCTTCATCCAAAAAATGGGCAGTAATAGCAACAAAATTAACTGTGTTTATTGATGACCATGAATCTGTTGTGATACAAAATGTTTTCCCTGTTTGTATTAGTTCTTTAGTATTCGTCAAGCATTCTTCATACATTGCTGGTAACAACGTTTTTGACACAACGTCTCTACTAGGCAACTGATAACTCGGATTTAATGCAGCAATAAATTCTCTAAACCCAGGGTCTTCGACAATGCTAAATGGTTGCAAGTCTTTAATAAACAAATTAAGTAATTTCTGGTCTATAAATTCTTTTGATCTGACTGAAATTTTTCTGGGCAAAAATGTTTCAACTGTTACCTGCCGCAACATTCGTGGTGATAATACTGACTCGCTGTCAATATTTAATTTTTGCTGCTTGGAAGTAGATGGTTGTGAATTAGATAAATCAGATTGTTGTTCTTGTAACTCACCGGAAGTAGTTATGGTATCTGTTTCCATTACTGTGGGTATCTATTGAAATAAAAATATAAAACTATAATTAATTGTACCATAATATATTCATTAAATTTATCTTACCTTAGGTTTATCCTCAAAAAGATGCACAGTAGGATGTTTGCTTTTTAAATGTTTATTAAGATTCGTAGTACTTGTCCTATATAAAAACTTGCTTTTACACATATTGCATTTTGCGTATTCTGAGTCTATTTGTTCAAAAAACCTCCACACCTGACTTGTTTTTGTTTTACCCTGTATTTTAGGTGGCATTATGAAATTTAACCCTCAACTGGTGTCGTGATTTATTCTATCGTTAACTGCGTCCTGGGGTCTACTGGACCCCATTTTTTTGGTCATTTTTTTTGAAAATAAAAAAGGATATGTTATGTTCTTATTTTGTTTCAATGTGTGATCATTTAAGCTGCAATAAAATCATGCAAGCCCATTATTTATTTTTATTAAAGGGTGAAAAATGCTAAAAAGTGTAACATAATGTATTTTTCATGGGTTTTTGACACAAGAACATAAGATTTTACAGAAAAAATATAAAAATTGAATGATTATTTTTATATTGATTTTTTCGTTTTATATACAGAACAGACAACTAAAACAAATAAACTTTTAACTAAAATATATTATTTTCAACAAAACTGTGGACTATTTACAACTTACATATTTCTAAATACAATTCTTGCAAACATAGGCCCTGCAGTCGCCGCACATGGGTCGAGAACATTTGCTGCACGACATTTTTGTTTTTTTGTCATTCTTCCGATCACAAATACCACATCTCTTTCGTTTCTGGCCCTGATTGCTTAATTCTCCCCTCTCTTCTTGAGGTAAAGCCTTGTTTAGTACTCTGCTGATACCTATACGAAGCTCCCTAGGTAATCGAAAATTGTATAATCTTACATTGAGATATGGTTCTGCAAGTTGTCTTGCAAGAATTTTGTAAAAGGCTTTTCTCTCTAGCGCTTGGTTGTTTTTATAACATCCATGTAAAATGTGTGCATTGACACCCGCAATATTCAATATTGTGAAAAAAATAGTCATTGGCCATCGCCTAGTTCGCCGATTTGTAGAGTATGTGGTACATTTTTGATCTAGTGCATCCACACCGCCTTTTGTTTGATTATAGAAGGAAATTATTTCTGGTTTACCAGATTCTTTGTCCTCACATTCGGTGTGGTGCATTGATGATATTAGCACAACTGCCTTCCCTTTTTTTGGGACGTAGGAGACGATAGTGAAGTCGTTTGTAAAACCATAAATGGAAGATCCTTCAGTTCTTCTCCGATTTGGAAGGAACTGCACAGGTATTTCCTTTTTGTTTCGCTTAAGCGTGCCAACATAGGTGAGTCCTCTTTTTTTTAATTCATTCATGACTTCTATGGATGAAAACCAATTGTCTGCTGTGACATTTCGGTTTGAATTAGCAATCGGACGACACAGTCTCAACACAGATTGTGTTGGTTTCATGAAACGTCTCTCCTCATTCGTTAGAGAAACACCATCACTATCCTTACCACTGTAAATATAACCATTATAGAAATAGTGGGTCCGTGCGTCTGTTAAGGCCATAATTTTTAGTCCATATTTCCGAGGTTTATTAGGTATGTACATGCGGAATCTACATCTGCCGCGAAATCCTATCAGCATTTCGTCAATACAACACAATTCTCCTATCGAATAGCAGTCTTGGCAATTTTTCACAAAACGCTCAAATATCCAAGAGACTGCCGCAGTTCGATCATAAGCTTTACGTGCTTCTCTATCATCTGCATTGTCAAACCTAAAACAAAAGCAATTGGATAAGTCTAAAAATATTCATTTACACTGCTTAGTCAATAAACCTTAGACATGCGAGCAACACATATACTCTTTTCAATGACATAATGGACCTGAATATGTCTCGTCCCGTTCCATCTGTTGCAAACATTTCTTGAAAGTCTTCATCATTTGACTTGAAAACTGCAGCGTAATACAATATAGCGAGAAACGCTCTAAATTCTTCCTTTGTTAGTTCTCTCAGTTCCGTTCGATCAGCGTTACTAAATTTATCTTGGAATATCAATATCTTTTCATTTGTCCGCAGAATTATTTCATTTTCCATGTCTTCTGTGAAAAGATAGCTCCATATTTTTAACGGATCAGCGACATCACCACATTTTGCAGGTCCTTTCAGCCCCGGAAGAACTTTCACCAGATTGTGTTTTTTTGTTCTGATATTCAAATTTGGGTTGGCCGGAACAGCAGACCACTTGTATCGATTTTTACCAAAATAAAACGTTCCGTTCGTCGTTTCCATCTCCTCTTCTTCTTCACCATTAGAATGACTTTTCTGTTGTTCAGCATTGTCCCCCTGATCTTCCATCTCAGAATCAGAGTTATGGTCACTCTCTGGGGAAAAATCTTCGTCTTTGTAGTCCTCATAGTCACTACACTCACTTTCAAGTTCCTCATACCACTGTCGTAGAGTTTCCTCAAACTTAGAGTCCCCAAAACGCACGCTTTTGGAAGAACCCGCCATTTTAAAAATAATACACTATTAGCGTCGTGGTGCCACACAGACCCCAAATGAACTTTACCGCTCGCTGTCCAGAGCAATACTAAAGCAAAGTTGACGTGCGCGCCGGCGTGGCTTATGAGTGCACTAACTTGAAGGTAGATGGCGCGGCCAGGCTTGAATGCTGAATTTGCAAGTTTTACATGGAGTTAAAAAGTTCTGGGGGTACATCAGACCCCACGACGCCACTTGAGGGTTAAACAAGTGATTTGATTTCACTAAACACTATCACTAGTACTTGATGTATACTGAACTAGAAATACTAAATCACAATGTTCCTATTATTTTTTGAATGTCCGCTGGTTGGTAAAAAAATACGTGCGCTGCAATCATAACATCCAGATAATAAATAAAAAATCGGCGTCGCTTACGCTTCAGGTCGCAGCAGGTCGCTACAATCATGTTAAAGAGAGAGAGAGAGAGATAAGGAGATAGGAATATCGGGTATCGGCATCGGCCGCCAGCGGGCAGCAAGCGCCAAGCAGTAAGCGGAGTGCGGAGCGGAGTATTCCGCCAGTGAATCATTGAACTGAACGCCAGCCTACTGCTATTCGCTTTACTTAGTAGACCGTGCATCATGGAGTAGCAGTAGCAACTTATGATTGACTGATATCTGTGATTAAGTAACAGTCCGTGATTTTGCTCCCATCACTAGTACCGCTCACTCACTAGTGTCTTTTCACTTCACTTCGCTTCACTGTGGGTTTGTCGGCCCACTTTGGTGCGTCTGTTTTCGCCAAGTCGCGCTTTTACACAATTCCCAACGAGATGGAAATTATGTAATGTTTCTTCGTCCACCCGATTTAGGCTTTGCCTTATCGAGTGGGTGTCTCACTCGCGTTTCCGCGCGTTGGTCGCGTCGTCGCTTCGGCGTCGCCTTGTCACGTGCGTTCTCACTGGTCTCGTCTGCTCTCCTCGGTGGCTGGCTGCTGTATGCTGTCTCCCCAGAGGGACCACGTGCCCACCGGTGAGCATTTTACGCAGTGTTGCCAACCCCAGCATAGAGCAAAACTGTAGATATGCTTGAAAAAATCTGCAGAAAACTGTAAATACCAATTTAAAAAACTGTAAATCTACATCTTTATCTTTTTATTATTTTGTATTATTTAATGATAGTAATAAATTTATTATATTATAGGGAGGGAATTAAAAATAATAAAAAGCATGTATTTATCAAAGTTTTAATCAAATGAAATGTCAAAACCTAGTATGAAAATGCTAATCTAACAGGAACAGAACATGAGAACAGAGAACAGGAACCTTCTCTTGAAAATCATAGCTATCAGTAGTAGATGATATCACTAGCTAGCTGCTATCTCATTTTCAATTTGTGAATCTTCTTGATTTTCCGTTTCATCTTTATTTTGGTTGAAATCGTACATATTTTTATTGAACTTTTTCAAATGGTCATTTTTCACATTGAACTCGAAACAATTTTTAATTTCGGACTTTGTGTGCAAGGTACCTTTTATTGTGGTTGTAGAAAGTTTATTTCTTAGTTTCGTTTTCATAACATTAATGCTCGAAAACAAGCGTTCTACCGTAGCAGTACTGTGCGGCAAACATAGAAGCTTTCTGGTTAAAGTCGATAATAGTGGAAACATTGCAGAGCCGTCGCCTTTTTTCAATTTGGAAATATGCCACCAAAATGTATCTACACTGGGCGTCTCAGTCTCGTCAAAATTAAAATTGGTCCTGCGAAGAGTTCTCCATTCTCTATCTAATTCCGTTATATTTTCTGGACAAATACTTGGGAAATAATATAATAATTCAGAAATTGAAGTTATATGTTTTTTGCTCAAGTCATGACCTAAAATCGCTTGTGGGTTCAACATCTGTAAACACTTTAGTGCCTGACGTTCTTTATCACCGAAAGGAAACCTTTGTTTGATTTTAGCTACTGCCTCAATGTAAAACTCGTTACATTTCCTGTAAAAATTTGACAGTTTATCGTCGTCCAACTCTTGATTGTCTCTTTTCAATCGAATCAAATTTGGTACCATTCCTCCAACGTATGTTTCCAATAACGGCAAATGGATCCGCACGTCATTTACATCAACACTTAATATTTTTTGTTCTTTGGCATTTAAGATATATCTTCGGCTTTGTTTATCTCTTCTTCTGTTAGTTCTAAATAAACCGGTTGTATAAAGCATTCTAAAATTGTCACATATGCTGTGTAGATCTGATCATATAATAAGTACAACTTTGGTTTTTCTGCCTGCAGTTCTTTATTCAAATCTGTGAATATTGGTAAAGCAAATCGTAGGAATTCCAAGTATAATTCTGTTGTCGGTTCCATGGCTTTTGTTAAAATACTTTGGGCAGAAAGAAGACGATCTGTAAGCACAGCTGATTGGAAATATAATTTTATAGCTGGAAGTTGTTCCAACAATCTATTCATCACATCGTTCAACGATAGCCATCTGGTTTGTGCAGGGTGTAATATTTTATGTGGTTTTATATTTGTTAGGGGTGTGCTTAACAGTGAAATTTTAATATCGGTGATCACTGCGACTGCTATCAAAAAGTAGCTGCTACTGCAAGCTGTGAAATTATCACTCTTTATATAACAGTAACTATCACCTAAAATTCCGCGTAACGTAATAATTAATGAAGTCCTCTGCGAATATGAATAATAAAATATTTGCGTTTAGCGTTACTTACTAGTCTTTACTACTCAGCCTTCAGCTTTCTGCGATTTGACCGTTCCGAGAATGAGTGAATGAGTAAAAAAATACCTTTAAATAGTATTTATAATTAGGACATGGCTATATGAAGTACATATATTTAATTTGGAAAAAAATATATATGTAATTTAAACAATTTACAAAATAAAAAGGTATGAACATCGTAACAAAAAATCAAAGTAACAAATAGTAAAACGTATTTTAAAATATAAAAAAAATTATGCGTAATAAAAATACAACAAAAACTGCTGAAATTATTCTATGTATTCGCATTTAAAAAAAGTAACTTGTTAACTTTTGTAGCAGAAAGTCGTGTTCTTCTGTCACTAATTATCAGGCTACTTCTGGAGAACAGTCGTTCACAAGGTACGCTAGTTGCGACCATACAAAGCTGTTTTCTTGCCAAATCCGCCAAATTCGGATAGAGTTGTTGATTATTTTTCCACCACAGCAGTGGATCATCCTTTCTGGAAATGATGGTATCGTTACAGTACCTATCGACCTCCAAAATAGCCTGAGACGTAGCTGTCCCCTTAGGAATAAGATCGGCCATTTTATTGTCAAACTCTGCCCAGTATGACAGTACATTTTTTTCAGTACTATTGTCGGTTTCTTTTTTTGCTTCCAACCGTGGTTGTTGTCGGCCAGTGCTTGCTTCTGCAGTTTTTACATTAATAATAGCGGTCACTAAGTTAATTACTTGTTTTTTTATATCTTGGGCATGTTCTTGATTTTCAAATATATATAATTTGAAACGAGGGTCCAGAAACGTGCATACACCGATTGTTCTGCTTTTTTCCAAATCTGGAAAACGCTGTTCTAAACCAGCAACAAGCTGATCGGCAAAATTTGTTGAATTTTCGCAGTAGTTTAAATTAATAGCCTTTTTGGTAACGGAATTTAGACCTCTTGCAATTCCTATAATTACGCTGCCCGTTAAATAATTCTCACCACTAACTTCCAAAGTAGCTTCTTCGAAAGGCTTCAACAATATACAGATTTCCTCGCAGATTTTCCATTCCGTCTCCGACAACATATTTATTTTTGGTGCGTTTAAATTAGCGACGGTACTACGAATTGCTTCTTGGATTTTTACAAGCCGTTGAATCATGTGATATGTTGAGTTCCAACGCGTTTCGACATCTTGTATTACACATAACGGATTGTCATTCCCTAGTTGCCTTTGAGCCTTTAACAGTTTTTCTGTCGCTTGTGGGCTTCTTTTGAAATGATTCACTATGGTTTTTACTTTCTCAATTATTAACGTTTCGGATTTCAGAGCACTGCGTACAACAAGATTTAATTTATGCGCAAAACAACCGATATGTTTCCACATCAATTCCTTGGTTACTGCGTTAGTAATGTTAGAAGCGTTGTCAGTAATGACTATGAGTATTTTATCTAGCAAACTCCATTCTTCGGCGGTGCGTTTCATTTCAGCGGCAATCTGTACAGCAGTATGTTCACCTTCAAATTTTATACATTTAATTAATTTGGAACGCAATTTGAAATCTTCGTCTATAAAATGTGCAGTTATGCCCATATAATTCTCATTTGCCGTAGACGTCCAGTGATCAGTTGTCAAGCATATCTTTTTTACTTGATTCATCTGTTCCCGTGTACTTTCATAACATTTATTGTACATTTCATGAAGTAGAGAGTCTGATAAATATTTTCGCCCTGGCAAACTGTAATCTGGAGCCAATGCTGCCACAAAGTTTTTGAACCCTTCATCCTCAACTATGGAGAATGGTTGATAATCTTTAATAAATAATCCCATAAGGAGTTCATCGTAGCGCTTTTTCATAACGGGAGTAACTTTTTTTCTTACAAAATTATGTACTTTCTCTTGGTAAAGTGTGTGAACTTTATTCGGAATCAAACAATTTGAAACACTAAAGCTTGTTGATGCCTCGTCCGCTGTAGTGACCAAAACTGTCCCATTTGACGAGGGCATAGCCTTTCCATTTGTTGAATTTTTAGTTTGGGCTAAGGCTGAATCGGTACTGGTTGCATCTGACGGTGAAACGACTACAGTGGGATGTTTTAACGATAAATGCTTTCTTAAATTAGTTACGGATGTTTTAAAACTTAAATTTTGATAACAGTATCGACATTTCGCCATTTTATTTTCATTTTCTTCAAAGTGTAACCAGAGTTCACTACTTTTTCTCCTTTTATTAGGAGTTGCCATTCTTCTCAGTGCTGTAAATTATATTTAAATAAATGCGGATGTACCTATACGCAGTGTAACATTTACTTACCGGTACGACACAAACCAAAACAAACACGAATAAATACTTTGAAATACCTAATTGCGATAACAAAAACTGTAAGTTAGGTTAGCACATTTTATATCAATCCACCCTGCAAAGCGCAGGAATTTATATAAAATGAAGCAGTCAAACAGTAAACTGTGAAACTTTCTTTCCTAATTAGCATTTAGCAGTCGTTGATAAGCCGTCCAGCTGATAGATGGCGATCGCATTCACAAATCATAATTCATATTCAGAACAATTTCGCCTTTTATCTCGCATCGCACTCATCGAAGTATTGCAGTCGCACACGTACACGGTACGCAGACATGAGACAAGGTGTGCGACGTATGTGCGATACGCGCCTTCGCAGTTAAGTTAAACAGTGATATTTTCACTCTTTCGTGCAGAAGCGAGTAGCAGCTACCTAAATGATTTGTGAGTAATAGGTGAACAGTAGCAGTGAATGCGATCGCAGTCACTTCTCTAATATTTGTAAACGCCTGAAAAGTTTTATAATCACCGATGCGTTTAGGTGAATTTTGGATGTGATTGAAAACTTCGCGGCAAAAATCTTCAAGACCCCTCGGTAATTTTTCACATGCGTGAGATGCGCAAAGCGCAAATGAATGGCATATACATTTCATGGTGAAAATATTAGGTATGTCATTCTTCAAATGAGTGATCATTGAGTTATTCCCCCCGAACATGACATTGGCGCCATCAGAAGCAAATCCTAACAAATTCTTTTTGTATGGAATTTCTTTCTCATTAAAATATTCGACAGTTTTTTGGTACAAAACTTTAGCTGACCCGTCGGTGATCGGTATTACAGTTAGAAATTTATCTTCCACTTCATAATTTGTGTTGACTAGCCTCGCTATTAAAGCTAAATGCTTGATTGTCGACTTATCAGTGCTCTCATCTACCAGCAATGCAAACTCGTTTTCCCTTAAATTTTTTATCAAGTTTTCTTCAGCGGTTTTTCCTGTCACATTTACTACAATAGCTCTTGCTTTTGTTCGGCTCATAGACAAATATTCAGCAGTTTTTGAATCTGGACACACCGATTTTATTAAATTAGTCAGATGTGAGGCAACATTAAATGCAAGGTTGTGTTCCGCAATAAAACATGCTAGTTTAATTTCGCCGACTTTTGCCATTTGCTGCGGTTCCTGTGATTTTGATGTCGATGCGAACAAAGATGTAAGCTTAGGTTGCTTTTGTATTTTTTTACAGTTTGCTTGGTGCTTTGACGAATTTTTGTGTCTCGTCAATTCTTGAATTCCGCATTTACGATCACAGTCGCATGCAGAGCAGTAAAAATAAGTGTTACCTTTTTTACTTTTTGCGAGCCATCCACTAAACTTTTCGTCGCTGAGCCAAGAGTCAATAAATTTTTGCTCGTATCTCACTACTTTCTTCTTTCTTGGTGGGGATTTACCAACATCTGACTCACTATCACTACTGCAGCTATGCATATTCCTAACTTTTTGCTAAACTCACAACGTCAGCCGAACAAAAAAGAATCTAATCAGACGAATGACGGAATTGAGGGATTCCCGAATAAGTAAACAATAGAATGTCGGTAAAATAGACATTGACCGAAACGATATACAAAGGCGCGTATACATCTGAGCATTCGGGTCGAATGAGCAAGGCGAGCGCGAATGAGCATTTGGAAGGGGGCTGCGTACACATCTGAATGGGACACGCGAGCGAGACACATGAGCTTTCATTCGGATTGCTCCATGAATGCTCGTAGTGCGCGTTTCAATATGGCGGATGAAAGTCTGGCAGTGGATAGTGCTAGTTTTATTGTGATATGCAGGTTATTAAAGCAGAAACGAAGGAGACAGAGACGTCGATGGACATCACAATTATATATGAAAAGAGAAATTGGTATTAACAGTACCTTGTTATTAAATGATTTGTCCGAAGAAGGGACGGGTCACTTCAAGAATTTTACCCGAATGTCCCAAGATGATTTTAATTTTCTTCTAAATGCAATCAAAACGAAAATAATGAGACGTGACACAGTATTTAGAAAAGCAGTCAACGTTGAAGAAAGGTTGGCAGTCACTTTACGTTTTTTAGCTACAGGGGACTCGTATACTAGTTTACAGTACCTATTTCGGATATCAAAGCAGCTAATATCACAAATAATACCGGAGGTGTGTCAAGCTCTTATTGAATGTTTAATAGATCACGTTAAGGTAAGTAAAACAACACTTAAATGTAGAAAATCATTTTATTGCCTAGTTTAATAACATATAATACATGCTACTATGGGGTAGAATTATTATCCCCAGTATCATCTGAGAAACTTGCAAAATAATTATGCAAAGCTGAATTAGTACCGCTGTGTGAGCAAGATGAAGTAGGAGTTGATGAACGGGAAATTGAAGTTTGAGCAGGAGTAGGTGGTGTTTGAGGCATTGGTGGCAATAATTCACAATTGTTGAAGGAAGATTGTGGGAAGCGTGTGGATACTTGCTGATAATCGTATTGGTTTGTACTCATGGTCTGAGGATACCCTGGTGCAAATTCTCGCAAAGGCTGAGGAGCAGCTGAACTATTGTAGTGACTCATTTCTAAATCGAATAAAATATTGTTGAGTCTGTGCTGGGCCAAAGATTTGAGACGATCATCAAATTTTCGAATTTTATTGGCAACGTGTTCTCCGTAGACGCTGCAATCGTCTCTTTTGTTACTTGCAGAACCTGAAGCCACCTTTTGCAGATATCCAAAAGCCTGCATTATTCTTGGATCTTCTTCTTCCTTACGCCTTTTGACTGCACGTTTTTTCGGTGACTTAAAAGTCTTTGTTTTCATTTCACTTGGGGCTGCTCCTTCTGAGGTTTCCAGAGCTGGTTCGTCATTTTGAGAAGCTTCTATTTCTGTATTGTTCCTTGGTTCATCAGTGAAATCTTCTATTTCCGAGGAAGTGTTTATCCCATCTTCAGGAGAATTGGGCTGTAGATTCTGCAAATAAAAAGAAATATATTGACAAGTAACCTGTAACAAAAGCAGACCAAATCAGAATTATGTGGGGATGACAGAACACGAGATTTTACCCCAGTAATAGTAGCACATAGTAGCAAGTTTCTTTTTATGAATGTTTGTTTTTTTGTTTTGTGCTCTTTCTTCGGGCGAAATGCAACTTATCGACTTTCATGTTTTCTATACAAGTTCGCCCGGAAAACAAGCACTTAATTGACAGCGACCATACTAGCCTGAATAACATTTTTTTTCTCAGCTTCCAGCTTCGGAAGACGAATGGAAAAACGTCGCCCAGAAATTCGAAGACATTTGGAATTTCCCACATTGCGTGGGTGCTATAGACGGCAAGCACGTAGTTTTACAAGCTCCAATTAAAAGCGGAAGTGACTTTCACAACTATAAATCATTCTTTAGTATTGTTCTGATGGCCTTGGTTGATGCCGACTACAATTTCATGTTCGTGGACATAGGATGCCAAGGCCGCATATCGGACGGTGGTGTATTTCAGAACTGTCAGCTGTATAAAAAAATTGCGAATAATGCTTTAAATCTGCCTACATCTTCGCCTCTAATTGGAAGAACTATCGCAATTCCCTTTATATTCTTGGGCGACGCAGCATTCCCACTAAGTCAACACATAATGAAGCCCTACGCTGGCCAACATCCAAAAGAGTCTCCTGAGCGAATATTTAATTATCGGCTCAGCCGGGCACGTCGTGTTGTTGAGAATGCGTTTGGCATTGCTTCTAGTGTTTTTCGCGTCTTGCGAAAACCGATGCTTTTAGAACCCGAAAAGGCACAACTCATAGTAATGACAGTAGTTTGCCTCCACAACTTTTTGCGCAGAAGCCAAACTTCAAGAAATATATATACGCCACCTGGTTGTTTGGATAGTGAAGTCGATGGAAACACAATACTCGGCACTTGGCGAACTGATAATCAGGAAATATCATCATCACTTTTACCAGTAAGGAACATACCACGACGAAGCAAACCAGTGCCTACCAACATAAGATTGGAATTTACTGAATATTTTTGTGGCAATGGCGCCGTTCCCTGGCAAAACAAATGTGCCTAAATAAATAATATTTATCTGCTTTCTCTTTATCAATAAATTATTACCTAACAATTAATTTCATTTGTTTTTAATTAATCGTAATTATTATTAGTGATAAATAAATCATTTCAGAAGGAGGTCAAACTAAAATATGAAGTTTGTTGGGGTAACGTAGGGGGTAGATTATTACTTAATTGGTTTGTTCTCGCATGATCATCTTAAAACCGTTTGAAACTACATAGACATAGACTACAGCAAAGAAATGAAGTCTAAAGGATCAGGATAATAATAATGATTTATATGACATCTAGTAAATAATGATCACACGTTCTTGAGTAATGATACCACACTCTGTAAAATGTTAATGTTAAAAATTACCGAGATAATCGTACAAAAATAATAGTAATATTAATAATACCTAGGTGAGTACTTACATTTATGCTTCTCCGGGGCTCATCTTTGTCATCCAGAAATCTGAGGTAGTCGAAAGCAAACCATTGTGACGTATACGTTTTGTCCTTTCCTAAAAATACAAGTTTACGATTTACAGACGGCGCCAAACAATTTGCAAGTTAAAAATTAGTCAATCATATGTTTCCTACCTTTCCCTGTTCCGGTACTCTTTACTTTAGCCCTTTCCCTTCTATAAGATCCCTTCAAGCTCTCAACTTTTTTCTGTATATTTTCTACATCTCTACCACATATTTCTGCGATCTCCCGCCAAGCATCATCTTTCTTTACTTTGTTAAAATAACTAGAATGTCGAGGATTCCATAATATCGGCCTCTGATGGTATAAATCTATTATTTCCAAACACTGTTGTCGAGTGAAATCCATGAGTGTATGTCCTTTCCGTTAACAAAATCCCTGTCGACGTCCACACTGATCACGTATGAGCGTGTTCGCCGCAAGCGCTCGCTTTGATCTACCGACAAAATTTGGATCGGGTCGAGCGTGCTCGGCGCACGTTGCTCAGTCGTCCACATTTGAATGCTCAGCTCGCCGTGCTCATTCGACCCGAATGCTCAGATGTATACGCGCCTTTATACGGGTTTCAAATACAGAGGGCCGGGCAGTTACGGTAATCTTGGCATAGATATGAGTGAGTGACTAAGTCATACCATAAGTGTTTTTTATTATGTTATGTAGGTGATTAATTAGGTGATTTACGACTAAATTCTACAAATATAACTCATATTCTGGTTGTCCTAAGCCTATAAAAAGTGTTCTAAACCTATGAAAAAAATCATCATCACATAAAAAGTGAGAACAAAAAAAAATTGTTTCTTGAACACAACCTAAACCTATGAGAATATGAACTTGCACATAAAACATCACTTATTTTTTATCTCAAACAAAAACAAATCTGAATCTTCAGAAATCGACAGAGTAAGATTTTATTCGTTGATTTGATGATTTTGAAAACATTATACACATTGGTTCATTACATTGTCGCAGAATGTTTTCTTTTTTCGCATTTCTTCTGGCGAAAGTGGCGTCATGTCGCCTTGACATTTGTTTGTAGCACTGTGTACATCTCTTCCTTGTTACTCTTTTCGGTCCCTCAGTTTCTTTCAGTGCGTGTCTATTTGAGGTAGTAGGTCTATCTATGGAGGCTGAATCCAGACAAACGAGATGTCGAGAAACTTCTTTTTTGAATGCAATTATGACCATTTTCTTGTTGTTTACTCTATTATATAAGTGAAAGGCATTGACTACCGTAGTGGAGGTAATCAAAAAAATACAAGTCTTTTATACCACTTCACGGTTCTTCGCACAAAAGGAGCATAAGCAGCCATTTGGTCGGAAAGATCTATGAATGCTTTTTCTTGGTTATAGTCGAGAATAATAGCGGGCTTGCTTACTTCTACACCTCTGTGATCTACAGTTCTGTTGCACAACAGAACTATCATGTTTGGTACTGAGTACCAATACGTCTCTTTTGTCTTGCCACTTGAGAACTACAGTTTTATCTTCGTTTTGCTGAGCTATCACATCTCCTTTATTCAGTTTTGCTTTCACGGCGTCGGGAGGATTATATCTGCTATTTGAGCGAAGTGTTCCACCTAGATGTGTACTATGTTTTATCAGTGTCTTCGATAACGCAACACTAGTGTACCAGTTATCGGTGTACAGTGTTCTTCCATCGTCCAAAAGACCTTCCATCAATTCTATTACCACCTTTTCGGCAACAGACACATTATCAGTTTTTTCTTTGCCCGTATACACTTTGAATGACCAGGTATAGCCACCACTTACGCAGAGTTTGAAAAGTTTTATCCCATACTTGTGTCGTTTATTGGGGATGTACTACCTGTTTGTTTCATTGACCAGTAATGTTATTATCTCGTTGTCAATGAAATGTTGAAAAAATGAAACCGGGTTTTTACCACTTAGCTTCTGAACGACATCTGGATGAACACCAGTATAAGGAACACTGAACGGAAAATGATTTCGTGCTCCAGCTACAGCTTCCCACTTTCGTTTTTTGACAAAGTTGATCAAAGGGATGTTATCAGAAGAGTCGCTTTCTGGATCACTGGGATTTTCATCTTCCGAACTAGAATCATCATCGAACATTTCATTGGGTGAATAGTTCTGGTCTGCTAAAGAATCATCAGAAAATCCGGTTGCCTCTTCGTCCTCCGACATGTTTTCTAGCCTTGGGCTATTCCGTTAGGCCACGTGTAGTCATTGTTACTAGTTATTGATCTGTAACAAAAGAAAATAACACGTGATATACGCGATGACCACGGGTGGCCATTTGGTCCGAGTGTAATTTCACTCCGTGGGACCGCGTGACCACCGGTGGCCACGGATTAAAAAAAATTAAAACACGGAAAAATGTTCAAAAAAATGTAAAAGAATGGGATTACATATCATAAAAAAGCAACATTATATTAATAAACAATAGGGTTGGGCATAATAGTTCACCTGAAAGAGCGCTCAATATAGTTCAAAGAATATAAGTGAACTAGTTCGCTCTTTTAGTTCAGACGAGGAAGATCTATGATCCATGTAGCTACAGTGGAATATATATATATGTATATTCCACCAAAATACATATATTCCATAAATTTTTATCCAAACAGTCCTGGACATCTGTTTGGATAAAAATATATGGAATACATACATCTATTTTGATGGAAAAATGATTTGATATTTACCGTAAAAAACGTGTATTAAAAACCAGTGAAAGTGCATATCTCTTTACTAATTTTCAAAATAAACTAAAAAAATCTGCACAAATAACAATACAAACTGATATAAAAAATACAAAAAGTATTTTACTAAAGTATCAAACACAAGGAACATATAAACAAAACAAAAAACAAACAAAAGATAGATAATTCCACTAACCATATAATACTGATGGTTAAAAAATCGAGATCAAATATCACAAGAAAAATATAACAAAAAAGCATTATGTATTACAATAACAAACACATATTCGTGTGGAGGAATATGAGCTGTGACACTTTACCGGGTTTTAAAAGGGTACGACGTTCATTCAAAATTTGCCCGGTGCCAGAAAAGATCCTTTCACATGGTACCGAGGTCGCGACAATGCAAAACCTTTTCATGACATAGGCGTATAAATGTGGATAAATATTTTTTCGTTGATCGCACCATTCTAGTGGATCACTTTTTCTTTATAAATAGTCCTCGTTCAAATACCTATCTAGCTCCTTGATCCCAGCTACTTTTTTATTTTCAGGCCTGCTTATTTTTAAAGTTTCCTCGTCATACTCCTCCCATATGCTTTTTGTTGATGTTGGTGGTGCTGATGGCGGGCCGTTTCCGTCAAATGAATCATTTGTTTGTATGAGGTATTTGACCAGAACCAACTTTATTCCTCAGTCCTTGTACTGCTTTTTCAAAACAGTCTGCATTTTTGAAACCACGTTTTTTGAATCTTGGATCCAAAACAGTGCATTCTGCAAACAAGATGTTGTTTATATTTTGAAATCTGGCATTCATTTCTTTCTTCAAAACCTCTAGAACTGCTTGCACTTTAGAGTGGTTTGCAGAACTTTTTGCAAGTATTCTCTCTATCATTTTACACATAACAATAACTTTTGATAGAGTTACGTTTTTCTCTGCACTAATTTCTGTTGTCACCTCATAGAATGGGAGAAGCAGAGGTAGAACTTCCTCTATAATAGACCAGTCCTCTTGTTGTAGCGAAAGGTCATTTCGCGTTAGTGCTATTGTTGTAATTACAGCATCTTTTATTGTAACCACCCTATCTAACATTTCATATGTATCGAGTTGGGACTTCCTGTATTAATTTTAATAGTGGCAGATTCATTTGCCGTTGGGACTCTTGCAATTTATGCAGACCTTGGGAGCTCCTTTTAAAATACTCGACAATAGACTTAACCTTCACTAACGTATCTGATATTTGTTCTGTAGCTCTTTGTACAACTAAATTTATAAGGTGTGCAAAGCAGCCTATCGATCGCCAATTACCCATTCTTATAGCCGAAATAATATTTGGTGCATTGTCGCTCACTACAGCAGCAATTTTATGAGAAATCTGCCAATGGTTCATAGTTTCTTTGAGAAATGTACATAGATTTTCACTAGTATGCCTTTAAGTATATTGAATACAACCTAATGTCGAAGAACACAGTTTAGAGTTATCATCAATATAGTGGGCCGCTACAGCAATATAACTCTCATTATTTCTGGATGTCCATGCATCAGTAGTGACGCACACAGCATGTGCTTTATTCAATTTGATTGTTATCTTTTCTGTATATTCATTATATATTTTGCTGAGCAATGACAAAGTTTTTTCCTAGACGGTAACTCGTAATTTGGGCAGTGAGATACCATTCTAATTAATTCTCTAAATTCTGGCTCCTCTACCATACGTAGTGCATGGTGTCCTTTAGCGATCATTTTGATTACTTGCTTATCAATTTCTTCTATTTTACGACTAGATGGCGGTCTCTGAACAAAGTGAGTAATTTCTGTTTGAGCTCTGCTTGGTTTCAGTACTGTAGCCCTTTCGCTTGTTTTTGAGTCTTCGCATGTATTCGTCATTCTATGGCTCTTCCACTTCTTACAGCTCTTCTCGATCTTCTTATCACTTCCTCGATGAAGTCATCGTCTTCATCGGGGTGATTATTGAGAGTACACTGTCTCTGAAGGTTGTCAGCAAAAGCTTCTGCCTTCTCTTCGGTTGTGTACACCATCCCCTGTTCGTTATGTATTGGGGGGGATGGGATGTCTTCTGTTTCTGACGATTTTCGCCAAGGTCCACATTCCTGGATCAGCTGGAGATAATTCTTCGATCTTCTTTTCCCAGGTGCTCTAATGGTGCTGCTTCAAGGCGTCTCTTGCCGGTCTTGCCAGTCTGTTTGCCACCATGATGTCCGTGGGGCTTCTGGTCTTCTGGACTACTCTTCGAGCTCTATTTCTTTCGGTGATCTTGCGATTTACCTCGTCAGGTAGGTCACTGAACCTGTTTGGTTGCGTTATATCTTCCACCGTGGTTGCGGCTTCTAAAGCAGACTTAATCTTCCCTTCTAGGTCCGTGAGGATCGTAGTCCATGAGGAGTCGTAGCTGCTCGTTCGGGTGGTCCTGAGCTTTCTGGAAGGTCTTCTCTGTTTTTTTCCTCATGTACTGGTGCATGGTGTCCCAATGCAGGTCTCTACGCAAGGTTGAGTTTCTTACGTAGGATGGTGCACTGGTGGCGATCCGGAGTAGCTTCATCTCTAGAGCAGCAAGCTGGGAGCAGCGTACCCCCAGACCGCGGCCTTGTACAGCCGTAGCTTGGTCGCTAGCGGCATCCGGCTGTGTCTACCCAGTTGGGCCATGGCTGTTCTGGTCTTTGCGATGACAGCTTCTATGTGATCCTTCCAGGTGAGGGACTTGTCAAATACGATCCCCAGGTATTTGACTTTGTCGTTCCACTGGATATCTTCGTCGAAGATAGGTGCTTCGGGATGTCTTGCAATCCTTCTTCGTTGGATGAAGATTGCCTGCGTCTTCTGGACGTTGATGTGGATTTTCCATTTCACGCACCAGTCCTGGATGTGGTCCAGTTCATCCTGTAGTCTCCTACGGACGATCTCGGGTCGTCGATGCTTGGCAGCTATAGCAGTGTCGTCTGCATATAGGGCCAGCATTGTGTCAGCTGTCTTCGGTTCGTCGTGAGTGTAGATGTTGTAGAACAGGGGGGCTAAGACTGACCCCTGGGGCACGCCTGCTTCCAGCTGTCGTCTTGTTGAGTGGCATGTACCAATCTTCACCGTGCACCATCTTTGTGTTAGATAGCTCTGGATCAGTTGGCACATGTTTGCATCGATTCCGGCGGCTTCCATTTTGGCGATGAGTCCATCGTGCCAAACTCGATTGAAGACTCGTTCCACGTCCAGCAGGACGAGGCCGGTTGCCTCCTGGAGATTGAAGCCACTGGTGATGTTTTCTGTCGTAGCGCTTGGAGTTTCGTGTTGTGGAAGGATCTGAAGCCGAATTGCTCTGGGGGGAGAATTTCCAGTTATTCTGCCTACTTCTTTAGTCGAACGGCGATGGCCTTTTCGACTACTTTGACCATCGAGGATACCAGGCTGATGGGCCGGTAGTTCTGAGGCAACTTCCAGTCCTTGCCTGGCTTGGTGAACATTATAACCTGGGCTTCCCGCCACCGCCGCGGGAACTGGTTAAGTCTCAGAGAGGCATTGGCGATGTTGGTGAGTGCAGCAATGCCTTTGGAGGGAAGGTTCTTCAGCATCCTGTTGTTGATGCCGTCCCTTCCCGGTGCCTTTATGACCTTCAACCTGCGGATGACCAGGCGGATTTCCTCTGGACAGGAGGGGTGATCCGTCTCCTGGCCAGGTGGTCGTCTCCTCATGATTTCGGCTGCGACTTCCACGGCCTCCTCGTAGTTGTCGTCCTCGTCTTCATGGTAATTGAGCCTGCATTCGGATTCTAGTGAATCAGCGAATGCTGCGGCTTTTTCTTCACTGGAATAGGCCAAGCCGCGTTGGCCGTAAAGAGTGGGGATCGTGGTGCGCTGACGACGAAATTTTCGTTACATAGTCCAGGCCGTACCATCCTGGGTCTCTAGATCTGCGCAGGCTGCATTGCATCTGTTGTTTTGGAGTTCCGCGAGTGCGTTCTTCAGAGCTAGCGATGCTCTGTTTCGCGCAACTCTCGACTCCTGTGTCAACAGCTGGAGATGTTCTCTTCTATTCTCCCTGATCAGGTGCCTAATATGGTGTGGTGCTGGACCATTTAGGTGTCTAGGAACTGCCGTAGTCTCGGAGTGGGTGTTGTCCTCGTGCGCTCGCAGGACAGCATTCTCCAGCTCCTCTACTGCGTTGTCCAGTTCCTCCGCTGATCGGATGGTTGAAATTTGGGTGATATTCCTTTGGACGTTGGATTTGTAGTGGTTCCAGTTCGTCCGTTTGGTGCTCAAGTTGTAGACCCTGTGCCAAGTCTTAGTAGGATCGGTTGTGGTTCGACGATCCTTCCACCAGCGTCTCTATCTCGAACTCATCTCTGATGTAGCGGAGGATGGCTATGTCCAGTACCGCAGGTCGCCCAAGGCGGAATGGAATGTAGGTTGGTTGCTCCGGACCGACGATGACCCCCGCCAGGGCATCGACATGTTCTTGGAGCTGCCTTGCATTCCTGTCTTCGACATTATTGTTCCATGCCGGAGACTTGAATTTTAGATCTCCGATGACTATGCGTGCTCCTGGGCCTATCAGGAGGTCAGCAATGTCATCTTCGTCTAGGGCCTCCCCTGGTGGCACATACAGGGAGGTGATTCTGTAGGGACGGTGGTTGTGATGGACCTGGACCGTGATTCCGTCCCCATTGATGTCTGCGGCGTCGTCGAGGACATGAATCGTCAGGGTACGTTTGACGAGTAGTGCGACTCCTCCACCTCTGCCTTTTCTGTCGTAGCGGTACGTCTCGTACCGCGGGAACGTCAGTCTATGGGCAGCGTCCAATTTAGTTTCTTGGATGGCCATCACCTCTGGTTGGTACTGGTCTAGTATCTCCTGGATTTCTGGTATCCGTGCCCTGAATCTGTTGATGTTCCAGGAGATTATGCGTAGTGATTCCGCGTTTTGGCCTGTAGTCATTGCTGGTTTAATGCTTGTCTTGCATCTTGGCCTCGAGTGCATCCAGGCGGGTTATGATGGCTTGCATCATAGCTAGCAGTCTCGCCGTGTTACTTCTGCGCAGTAGTTCCAGTAGCAGTGGCGGCTGCTGGGGCAGAAGTGGACTTAGTTTTCTTCGCTTTTTCAGCGTAAGACGTCCTATTTGAGGTGGAGGCTGCTTTGGGGGCAGCAGCAGCTTTCCTCGGGGCCTTACTACATCCTTTGTAGTTTGCTGGGTGTCCTTCTCCGCAAAGGCAGCACTTGGCATTTCGTTGCCCTGTCGGCGGCGTCGGCAGACTGCAGTTGGTGCTGCTGTGGTCCTCACTACACTTGACGCACCGTTCAGCGAGACGGCAGTTTCGCTGCGTGTGCCCGTACCGCTGGCAGCGGTAGCATTAGCTGGGCTCGGTCGATCTCTTTTTCTTCTCGAAGCTGACCATGAGCCTGGCCAGCCTCTGGACCTCCTGCAGCTTTTCCGCCATCCTCGTCTTCACGAGGAAGAGCGGTAGCGGCTGCTTGGTGTTCCTGGTCTTCATCTGTTGAACCTCGCCGTCTGCGATCCCTTGGCTCACTAGATCCTCTTTGATGTCCTCACTGACATCTCCCTGGGTAGTCCTCGAATTATCCTCTGGTCCATCCTTTCCTCCTTCAGTTGGTAAGTGACGAAGGGTCTCTTCATTGAGTCTAGCAGGGTTACTAGCTGACGGTAGTCTGCCGTTGTGTTGGTAAACACCTTCACACTGTCCCCTGCAGTCCTCGCTTTAGATAATTGGATTCCCTTATTGTTGATCATCCTGCTTAAGGATGACCAATCAGCGGTGCCCTCAATGTTGATTGGAGGAACTCCTGTTCCTGACATGGGGGCTACGATGGTCCTGGCTTCTCTAGGACTCTTCTTCTGGGTGGCAGCTGGCTTTTTTGGCTGCCTGGGTGCATCCTCTTCGTCGGAGGAGGAAACCCTCACTCTTTTCTTCTGCCTGGTGACGACACTGTAGTCCGTGTCGCTCTTGTCGGCTGACATCTTCTGTTCTTCTGTGTCGTCCTATTGCTGGCTTCTTGGGCATCCATCCCATTGTCCGATGTGGTCTTCTGGTCCTCGTCTTCTTCTTCTGCTACGGTCTTCTTCGCAT